TCTCACTGTACAGTTCAGGCTGACCTTGAGCTTACTTTGTAGCCCAGGCTGGTCTTGAGCTTGCAACAATCCTCCTGCCTCAGCCTCCCGAGTGCTGGGATTACAGGCATATACCACCATGCCTGGCTCACTAAGATAATTGTATAGAGACATGGGGAGCTCAATGTCAAAGTCTCTTACTCCTTTGAAATGTATTCTTAAGCATTGGAATGTGTTTGACTCTTACGTGTTGAAAAAGCTGTTTGATATTTTTCTGCACACGTGTGTGGCCTGCTTACCCTCTAGAGCCAAAATGGAATGCCAAGGGAAGTACTGATTAGGATGCTCTTTTACAACTAGAATTGTATTATAGGAAAGAAAGAAAATGGTCAATTGCCTTATGTTCAAGCTTTCTTTACATTAAGAAGTAATTCTTATTTATGCTCAAAGTATAATTGTAATCCATATGAGACTACCCATGTTCATATGTCTCTTTCTCTCAGTGACCTAGAACAGATCAATCTAGAGCTAAGGAAATTTTCAGATGACCCTTATAAGTACATTGAGGTCTTTAGAGGACCTGCTCATGTCTACAAGCTAGACAGGAAAAATGTAATGTTAATCTTAAATCAAACATTGACTTCTAATGAGAGACAGGCAGCATTGCAAGCTTCTATTGCATTTGAGGCTAAATATCATATTGTTAATTTTAGAAGAGCAGAAGATAAGCAGCCTTTGGACAACCAGTTCCCATTGGAGTCCAAGCAGTCCCTATCCAAGACCCCTGCTGGCCTAACGGTCAGAAGGGAGATTGGAGCAGGAGATATTTTCAAGTACATATTCTTGAAGGTCTAAGAAGGACAAAGACCAAGCCCTCTAATTATTTTAAGTTGTCAACTATTTATCAAGAAAAAGATAAAAATCCCTCTTCCTTCTTAGATCGCTTATGAAAAGCACTGGTAAAAATATGTCCATAGCTAGTGATTCAATAGAAGGACAGGTTATGCTTAAAGACACATTTATTACCCAGTCAGTCCCAGATATAAGAAAAAGTTAAAAAAAAGATAGCTTTGCTCCATAGAGCTCATTTGATACTTTAGTAAAAACTGCTTCCTTAGTATTCTATAATTGAGACTGTGAGAAGGCCAAAGAGAGAAAGGAAAGAGACCAAAAAGTGGCTGTCTTTGTTGCAGCCTTAAGAAAACAAAACCTACTTCTGATTCTTGGGGCTCCAAGAATAATTCAGTGACTGCCAACCTCACCTGCTGTCACAGCCAAGGGCCAGGCCACCTTAAGAGGGATTACCTTAAGAAGTTCCCACACCATCCCCTGACTACAAAGGTGGGCCACTGGAAGCAAGACTGCACTCTGAGCCGGAGGTCCCAGAGAGATTTGTCTTCTCAGCTGGTCTAACAAGACTAAAGAGCCCTGGGGCACTCTTTCTTCTTCCTCTGGCTGGACTGACATCTTTGCCTGTTATCTCCCAGAAGAGTAGCCCCAAGTAATCCTGACTATAGAAGCAAAGGAAACCATCCTATTGCTGGACAGTGGCCCATGCCTCTTTGTTCTTTTCAACCCTGGCCTTCCTTCCAGCCATCACACCCCCAAAAAAGGAGTCATCAGATAAAAAGTAACTCACTTAAGCTATAACAGATAACTTTCTCTTCACCCATTCCTTTAGTTATGCCTAAAAACCCAGTTCTCATCCTGGGGAGAGATATTTTTTCATGTCTAAACACTATAATATATATAGCAGGTTGCCAACTAATCAAAATGATGCTTAGGCTGGTTTTACAAATACAATATATACTGTTGTGTATGTATAAGAACTTGAGAATTTTTCATTGGCCAAAAATAATGTGTTAATTGTTATAATCTGTTTCTCATAAGTCATCAAATTTTGGAGATAATTATAGCTAAAACTGGAGGGACTTAAAATAAAATATCAGACTCCATCAATTGAGGGTTCTAAGAGCTGGTGGGTTACAATCGCTATTCCAGGCCTTTAAGAACAGTTTCTAGACTTACTGGCAGCTTGATTTCACTCAGGTGCCAAAGAAGGAAGGAGTTCAATACTTATTAGTGTTGGTAGAACAAGGGGGTCCTTATGTAAGTATAAAAGCTGAAAGTTGTGTGTACATTCCTGATCCTTTTGCTAATGTCTCAATACCTGTTCAAGATATTAGATGACAGGTTAATGACATGTCAGATTCTGAAATTCTTTGGACCTTCTCCTTATCCTCTGGGTCCTGGAGAGATCAATGAAAAAGACAACTGTAGTTGGAGTGACAGAGTTCAGGAAAAAAAGAGCAAAGCAGGAGGTATCACAATACCTGACTTCAAGCTAAACTACAAAGCAACACTGATAAAAATGGCACAGCACTGGCACAAAACAGATATGTACATCAGTTGAACAGAATAGAAGACATAGAAATATCCTCAGATACAATCAGCTATTTGATCTTTGACAAAGGGCTCAAAAACATATGTTGGAGTAAAGATAGTTTATTTAAAAAATGGACGTTGGAAAATGGTCTATTTGAAGAAGGTTGAAGCAGAACCCATATTTCTCACTAAACTAAAATAAAATCATATCAAAGATCCAACATTAAAACAGAAACATTGAACCTACTAAAAGATAAAATAGGTATAACTCTTAAAGTCACAAGTCTAGGCAAAGACTTGTGTTGCATAAGAAATAACAGCAAGAATCAACAAATGAAACTAAATGAAACTAAAAATCTTCTGCACAGGAAAGGAATCAACTAGTGGAGTGATGAGACAACCTACATACATGTGAAAATTTTTGCCAGCTATTCCTTAGACAAAGTACTAATATCTAGCATACATAAAGAACTCAAACAAATTGGATAGCCTAAAATAAAAGACCAAGTCCAGAAATAGGTGAAATAAACAGACACTTCTCAGAAGACAAAATACAAATGGTCAACAAACATGAAAAAAATATTCCACATTTCTGGCCATGTAAGAAACGCAAATTAATTGATTTTTTTTTTTGAACTGAGAATCAAACTCAGGACCTTGCACTTGCCAGGCAGGCACTTCTGCCACTGAACTATACCCCAGCCCCCTAAAAATGCAAATTAAAACAACACTAGGATTTAATCCTACAGCAGGAAGAATGATAATCATCAAGAAGTAAAAGAATGACAAATGCTGGTAAGGCTGTGGTGAAAAAGGAATTTCCTACATTGTGGATGGGAATGCAAAGTAGTACAACCATTATGAAAATCAATCTGGAGAGTTTTCAAAGAAGTGAAGTTAAAAATTGCACATGACCCAACTATCCTACATCTGGGTATCTTCTGAAAAGAAATCAGACTATGGTGATGCAATCATATCAATTTTTATAACAGCAAAATTCATAACAGCTAAATCCTGAAAGCAGCCTGTAAGCCCAACAGACAAATGGAGAAAGAAAATGTGGTACCTATAAATAATGAAATATCCCTTGATCATAAGGCTAAATTTGAGACATTTCTAGGAAAATGGATGCACCTGGAAAATGTAATGTTTAGTGAAATAAATCAGACACAATCTTAAATACCATCTAGCATCTCTCATTTGAGTAAGGCATAGTACAAAGAGCAAAATAAAGACTGGATAGAAGGAACAAGGGGATAGACTCTTGAAAATGGCAAGGGGTCCAGGAGACTGAGGGGAGAAGAGGAGAAGAAAGGAAAGTAAGAAGAATTAAGATATACCATGTATGGGAACCTAATAACCACAATGAATGTAAACACAGCATATCATAATGTATCATACCATAGACATATCATAGACATATGCAAATATATCATAGACATATGCAAATTAAAAACAGTGAAATAAGCCAGACACAGAAATGTAAAAATTGCGTGATTTATCTATTAGAAGGTAGTAGGGAAGAGAGCAAGGAGGTAGTAGGGAGATTTTGTTTGAGACAGGGTCTTGTTGTGTAGTTCAGATTGGTCTTGTGCTCACTATGTAGCCCTGGCTGGCCTCAAACTCACAATGATCCTCCTGCCTCAGCCTTCTGAGTTCTAAGACTACAGGCATGTGCCACCACACCTGGCTAAGGAAATCTTTTTCAAGTGGATGTGGAACAAGAGATGGAAGGAGGGGGAAGGAGAAAAAGGAAAAGGGATGGAAAAAGAGAGAGAGAAAAGATTGAGGAAAGAATAAAAATGGAGCTTTCTCAAATAGCAAGGGAGCAAAGAGATCGAAGGACCACAGAAGGAGGGGTAGGGAACAAAAAATTGTGATGTATTATGTACATGTACCTGATGGAGACCACTATGAAGCAGACCTGAGCAGGACTTAAATAAATCAATTGGCTTTTCACGTTCACTTGTGAATCTGTCCAAGGCCTAGGCTCCTTGTATGGAGATGTTGGACTCATAGTAAGTGAACCTCTGTCACTAGTCCCTACTAAGGCCTGTAATGGTGGATGAAGCTGGAAAGCCTCAAGGGATAAGACAAGATCACAGCCAAGGAACCTGGATCTGATCTCAACTAGAAAAAGACTATCCTTAGGCATCTCACTCCTGGGTGGATTAATTTAATACCTTATTTAGAGAAGTCCTTCAGTGATTCCACCCTTCTTGAGTACTCCACTCCTTTCTTCTGATAATCAAATAAATATGGGCCACCCAGAGAAGAACTTGGTATTAGCCCTAAGAGAATCTCAAATTCTATGAGAGGGCTTTGATCCTCCTGGAGCCCCGAAATCATTCCATTTGCCTCTTTTTATTTAGCCTTTGCCGTATACTCATTTGGGAGATTGCATATCTGATCATCGTGCAATAAGTAAGGGAGATTATTAACCCAATATGTACCGACTCCACAAGTTACATGTAATCATAGTGTACTGCAAATATGCACTAATAAAAATGTGAAACTAATACAAAATTGCTTGTAGTTTTGAGAAAGGATTCTAAAGTGCTTGTTTGCAGCATATATGGAACCTGTTAAGAAAAGACCTGATGAAACTGTATGTCATCCATTGAAAGAGACTTTACCTGCCAGGGGGAAAGAACCACTGCTTCCCCATCCCCCATGGGTTGCTTTTGTACTTGTTGCAGGAGCATCTCGTGGAGGGCGTGGGCCACAGAATACACAGCATTGTATATGTTGTAACTCGCATCACTTATGGCTGGATCAAAACGATTCACAGGCAACTGAGCCAAAGAGGCATTGGGTATACAGTTCTCCAATACACAGCCAGAATCAGACAGTGAGCAGTGGAAGTGCCAGTACCAAAGCTGCTGTAAGAAAATGTCTTCTGGGTAACTGGAAGGATTCACTGTCTGGATAAACTTTTTAAAACCAGAAATCTCATGGTGATTTGAAAAAATGAGAGTCCCATGGAATGAGTCAAAAATGAAATTGTTTCCAGTCAGGTCAGCGTGCCATTGTGAGTTTGTCACCCAGACTTTCCAGGTCACTAAATGTAGCCCTACATTATGTTGCATATCATTTATACTCTCAGCATCATAGTAAATGATGACCACATTTGCTGGAAATGTTTCCTTGATAATAAAATAATGTTTCTGTTGATTTAAGTAGTATGATGTAGCTGCATTTGAGATCATTTTCACAAATGCCACACAGACTCTGTTTTTGTCCATCTCTGCTCTCACATCTGAGAGAAATTGAAGCCCTTTTGGACCTTCTGTGATGACCAGTCCCACCCAGGTCCAGCTGAAATGAAGCATCAAGGAGACCATGCCGAGGGCCAGGGATGTGTCCTTTGAAGCCATTTGATAGAGAGAAGGAAACTGGTTATTGTCACTCAGGATCGGATCAAAAGAGCCAAAGGTCAGCTACAAAGAAAATTGGAAGCTATGTGAAGATAGTCTATGTAAAGTCTGTGTAAATCTTCGTTATGATGTGTTTTAAGGAGCACTTTCCATCTATATAACGTTTCACTTTCTGAGAGTTTTAGTTTTTAAAATAAGGATAAGCTTCTGATCAGAAACTTCACTTGCCCCTCTCCCTTCTCTTTGCTTAATATGAAGAAAGTTTGAGTAATCACTCAAGTATTCTGTACCTATTTTTTGAGATTTTATGCATTAAGTGACACAAACCCAGGCTCCTTCTTTTCCAATGTTTAGGAACCTGAGATAAGTAAGAGAGGAGATATGACTTCACCTCACCCAGCCCCTGCCCTCACCTGTGGAAACTTGTAGAGCTTCAGCAGTGGTCCAGTTTGAGCAGCTGTTACTGCTGATGTTCCTGTTAATAGTGCTATAGACTTGTTTCCTTGCCTACAAATGTAGTTTGGGATCTCATCCTGCCCTGTGTGCAAAATAAGGACATTCTTCAATATATTCCCATGACTGTGCAGGGAATTGTGGGACTCATAGCCCAGAGATATGTTGGGTAAAAGATGAGGATTCCTGTTGATTTCTTCAATGGCAAAAATGAAGGCAAGAACATTTTGGTAGTTTTGGGGCATAAGCCTGCAGAAAGAACATAGAGATCCTTATTGAATAGACTCAGTCCTTGACTGCCCTCAGATCCAGAACAGTATCATTATGAATTGAATGCTTGGGGCCTCTCTCCAAATTCATATGTGAAAACCCTAAATATGAATGTGTTGGCATTAGAAGGTTGATCTATGGAAGGTAGGTTTTGGTGAGGTCATGATGGAGAAAGTCTTATGAATGAGATTAATTACAAGGCACCAGAAAGAGATTCATCCCTCTTTCATGTGAGGACACATTGACATGACTGCCACTCCTAAACTAGGAAGCACATGCATTTTCTCTCTCTCTCTCTCTCTCTCTCTCTCTCTCTCTCTCTCTGAGACAGTTTCACTGTGCAGTTCAGGCTGGCCTTGAACTTATAGTGATCCTCCTGCCTCAGTCTCCCCAGTGCTGGGATAATAGGCATGCACCACCATACCTGCCCACACATGTTCTCTTAATCTCAGTTTCACAACTATTACATGCAAATAATTGCTTTTTAAGGCATGCAGTTTGTGGTACATTTTTATACAGCAGGTTGAATTAAACACTATCTGAAATCAAGATAAACACCCAGAAAATTATCTGTTCTTCAAAATCTGACTCCTGTAAGGTCTTAAATTTTATATCTAAAGTATATGTGCTGTGAAAATGAGCACAGATTGTACATTTACAGTGAATAGTAAATCTTCAGCTCTCAAAGGCCCTTCCTAACTTATACCTGCATAGTGGAAAAGATTTCCATTTACAAATGAAACTGTGAAGAATGGAAAGGCAGATTATATTTAGGGTATGTTTTGTAAATATTTCTTTGTATTAAGAACTAAAGTAGTTGCAAATATTAATATATCATTAAATGTTTTATTTGCAGAAATGATGGTCACAAAAGTGGGAACACCAATGAAAAGAAAGAAAAATGCTAAATGAAGGCTCTGGGTCATTCAGAAAAATATGACATTTGTGGGATGATTATGTTCCAATAGAAGGTTGGCAAGTAATTCTCCTAAGCCTTTGCCTCAAAGTTACACACCTGCCAGCATTAAAATCCAGGAAACTCATAACATCTTCAGGGCTTCAAAGGAGAAGGGATATTTAAGAGGTGAGGGCAATTTGGAAGAACAGTGTAGGACTGGCTGGAGTGTGAAGTCTTAAGAACCAAAGTGGGAGTCTGCAAATGGAAGAGCAGTGAGGGCCAGCAACTCAGCTCCACCAGGACAAAGTGCTTAGAGTCTGGAAAACAATAACCTGGAGAGGAATCAAAGTGAGTGGAGGGTACGCAGGAACCACAAAGGAACTGACGGAAGAGAAGAAAAGTAGGATTAGTAGATACAGAAGAAATAGATCACACCATGAAGGAGAGACCATACAGTGCTGCCAGTGGCAGCTAGCCAGCTCTCTGCTGGGAGGCGAAGTGAAACTTACAACTTCTCAGCTCACAGAGAACCAGAGAACTACACTGGGACTGGGAGAGTCTTCTGCACTTTAAATCAGCAGGGAGGACATGAGGCACAGCTTCTAGAGCAGCCTTCCACAGTCAAGAGGTGGTGAGTGACTGCAGTACAAGTACCCAGATACACAGTCATGTGGAGAGGAGGTTGTGTGGAGGTCACTGTAGGGAAGGGCTGGGTGTTTGAACTTGGGTCCCAGAACAACTCCTTGGCTGCTTCACACTGCCAGAAGTTGGAGAGCAGACTGAGGGGAGTTCCACTGACAGTTGAACGCAGACCTGGTTGTTATGGTCAGAGTCCAGGTTTGGCCTGAGCTACATAGGATTGGAAGCTCACATTGACATCCATTGGAAGCAGAGCTCTACACCCAGCACCATTCTGTGTGCAGACTGCCACCTTGGACTTCCAGCATGAACAAAGACACATCCTAGCCTGAGCTCTGCTCCTTAACCCTAGGCTGAGGGAAAGAGCATGTGTCCAAAACAGTAGAAATCTTTCTTTTACTGTTGTTCATTTGATTTTGTTTTAATTTTTATTTTACTTTTAAAACTTTTTTTTCTTTTTGCTATTTTTCTCCTTGTTTACATCCCCAACATTTATTCATTTTCTGTTCTTTTTTCTTTTATGAGCATGTCTGTGTATTTGTGCTCTTCCTCTTGCCTGTTTTCTCCCAATCTAGTTTATAGAGGGTAAGGGAATTCTCCATTGTCCCTTTACATCTCTTTTAATTTTATCTATATCTCTTCACCTGACTTCTTTCTTCTGTGCTTTATTCACTCTTGATTTTTTTCTTTCCCCTTCCCCTTTTTATTTGTCTCCTTTTAACTTTTTCTCTAATATTTATATCAACTACAGACTCTTTTCCCATCTCTATTTCTCACTGCCAATTTCATACCCAATTTTCACTGTTGTTATTCATTGTTAAATATGTAACATACCCTTACCATTATTAGGATCCTTTGCTCCCCTCCTACTTCCTCCTTCCCATACCACAGAGCAGAGAACTTAAAAAAAAGGAAAAAAGAAACTCACAAAACTTTTCTGTCCTCTTTTTTCTTTTTTTCTCTTCTCTTTCCTCCTCTGTTCCCCAACCCCTTGGTTTAAAATTTCCCACACTTAGCTCCTTCACAGTTACATTGATCTTCACTAGTATTATTCCTCAATCTTCCCTCTCTGAAATCTTTGGCTTTTCAATATCTTACCTAGGTTGTTGTCCTCCATATCAGCAAGTTCTGATGACCACATAGCTTTCCTCAATCAGAAAGTAAATCCCCTTTCTCCTATATATCACCCTCCCCCCAAATATCCCCTGAAAACTCTCAATACTAATTCTTCAACTCAACTAAAAGTACTCCATTAAAGCTAGAAGATAGCACAGATGGATTCACTAACATCCTTACAGAAATTGTGGAAGAAACTTTCCCAGAAATAAGGAAAGTGTTTAAAATACAAGTAAGCAATGCTTACAGAACACCAAACAATTATGATGAAAGAAGCAGCTCACCTCAGCATATCTTCATTAAATTCACAGATATCCATAAAAAACTCCAGAATTTTAATGTCAGTCAAAGCAAAACAAAAAATCACCTATAAAAGTAAACCAATCAGAATCACAGTAGACATCTCAGCACAAGCCCTGAAGGCTAGAGGAGCTTGGAGCAAAGTATTCCAAGCTGTAGGAGCAAATAATTTTCAACGCAGATTAATTTACCCAGCAAAGCTATCCTTCCAAGTAGATGGAGAAGTAAGGTATTTCTATGAAAAGCTCAGAAGATATATGAGTAATACACCAGCTCTTGAGAAAATACTAAAGAATATTCTCAACAGAGACAATGAATTGGATAAAAGTAAAAACATAGAGGAAAAATAGTGGGGTAAAAAAAGAACAGCAACAAAAACATCAGGAAAATAAAAACAGATGATAAAGCAAAAGTTAAAGAAGGAAATGATAGTTACTAATGAATATATCTCTGTATATATCTTAATGTTAATGGTCTCAACTCTCCAAATAAAAGACACCAACTGGAAGACTGGATCACAAAACAGAATGCAACAATCTGTTGCATTTAAGAAATTCATCTAAAAAGATATTCATAGGATAAAAACTAAAGGATGGAAAACAACTTTTCATCTATCAAGATCTTGAAAACAAGCAGGGGTAGCAATTATAATATCAGGCATAGTAAATTTCAAGCAAAAACTGATTAGGAGACACACTAGTTCAGGGAACAATCCAAGAAGAGATAACACTGATAAACATATGTACCAAATACTGGAGCACCTATCTTCGTAAGACACAAAATGCTGAAAGTAAAAGATCAAATAAACCTAACACAAGCATAGAAGGGAATTTTAACACCCCATTTTTGCAAGGAGAGAGATCAACTAAACAATAACAACAACCAACAAAGAAATTTCACGAGTTGAACCATACCCTTGAACATATGGATTTAATGGATACATACAGGATATTCCACCCCTCTACAACAGAGTACAGATTTTTTAAAACTAGAGAAGCAGATTTAATGCAAGATATACAAATATATAAGAATTTACAAGATTGGCTCACAATGGCTGCTCCCAGAGTCAGGCGTGGGAGAGTGCAAAAGCACTGTCTGTTTGCTGGAGATCCAAAGGATACAGTTGAAGGTCTGGAGCTCACTGTTGTGTCCTGTGTGAGTTCAGGAGACTGACGAGTCTGCACTGGAAGTGAGGAGATAATGTCCAAGGTGAAGGTGAAGACAAGCTCTGAAGACAGAAGTGAGCCCTTCTTCTTCATTTTTCTTTTATGACATTTAGGCAACAAGTCTACCCGGGGTTGGTATTCTGTCTTCAGTAAATCCCCTAAGCCACACCCAG